CAAAAATAAAGTCAGATGCATTCATTTTTGATTCTTGTATTAATTCTGTTGGCGATTTTTGAAGATCTTCAAGACGTTGTACAGCCAATGGATTGTACGCTGTTGTCGTAGAAGTTGTAGTAGTCGCCCGTTTCATCGTTGTAGTAGTCGCTCGTTTCATCGTTGTAGTAGTCGCTCGTTTCATCGTTGTAGTAGCCACTACTGCTTTAGACCATGCTGCAGTTGAAAGTAGAGCAATTGAATATAAATATACTATATGAATCCAATTCATTTTTCTGTTGCCTGTAGCAATGCTTTGATTTGAAAAATAATTGTGAAGTTGGCAGTAACCGTTTTAAACTCTTTATAGTAATGCTCAGTGGAGTATTCGTCATTCCTGGTAGATCACCTAATGTTGAAACTTGCGAAAAAAGCTTTCCCCGTTGCTATTGATAAGGCATGATTTTTTCTTTCCGCGAAATCAATGACTTATTAAGTTATTGTATACAAGTATTTCTTTAGTCATTTTCTGCTGCTTCTATCGTACACCATAGTGTCATTTTCTCTTCGCTACCAAAATAAAATGTCAAGGCTTGTAACACGGTTGTACTTTCCCCCAAATATCTTTCGGAAGTGACACCTATAAAAACGAGAGCAAAATTTTTTTCATTCGTCTGTTATTACTGTTTCAGGCTTGATCAAGTTTCAACACTATAGTTGGATGTCATGGATTTGGTTTGCAATCCCATCAATTGGAGTCCCCATTTAGTCTTAGTTTCGATCGTTCGGGTAACATGTTTATAACTGATACGTACAATCATCAAATTCAAAAATATGTGCTGTTGAAAAAATCTTGTGGTAAGTTGAAAATAGTTGAATAAGACGATGAATATAAAATAAAGATTTGTTTGGAGAGAAAAGGAGATAGAATTAAAATGAAAGTAACTTATGAAATAAATGCAACAAAAAGAAGAATAAGAAATAACAAATGGCTGATAAACAAGATTTTTTCAATAAGAATTGTATATAAGTTAGTTAAGATCAAATAAGATTAGAAAAATTTGTCAAAAAAACTAAATCAGATATTTCTTTGATAATTTTATTTGATTAAATCAATTGATTTACTTCATGAATTTATTACTTCATTTTTGTTAATAATAAAAAAAAAATAAATGAAGTAATCAGATTTTATCTAAAGGAAATTGTTTTATTTTCTTCGAAAGAATTAATTTTCTCTTTTTTTTGGAAATAATTGAAGAATCTGACTATTTAAAGAAATTTTATCCTATGAAGTGATTTTGAAATCAACTGACATTTATCAAAAAAATGTTTTTTTCCATTAATTTATCTTTTGATAAATAATTCAAATTGTACAGGATAGTTGAACTTTTAACGAGAAAACGTACTCAGCTATTAATCCCCGATTTAATTCATACTTTGATCAGAAATAGGACCCGTTGCGATTAGTAAAGGCCCAAAATTCATTCATACCTTGGACTTCTATAATTAAAATCAGCTTTCCCTAGTTGATGATCACCAGCAAAGTATGTGGATACAAACTGAATGTCAGAGTATTGACCTGGAATATTGTCCATGAATAAATCTCATTGTTATTAAATTTTGCTGAAAATTTTATTTGAAACGTCTGACTCGTTTTCGAGATACGCAGCTTCAAGAATCTGACAAACAAAGGATTAAATCTCGTTTCATATTCAATAGTTTGAGAAGACTATACGTTTTAAGTGAGATTTTCAACAAAGATTACTAATAATAATGACATCTATTCATAGGAGAAAGTGAAGATGAAAATTGTATTATCATTCAGTTTATATTCACACACTTTCCTCGAAATAATCAATGAGGGAAAACTGATCAGAATTCCACGAAGTAGAAGATATGGGTATATACATCTTCTATTTATATCTGATCGAGTTCTATTGATGATCAAACTATGATCTCACATTGTAGATCAAAAGTTGAGCATATTTTCTCTTAAGTACTGTAAGACATCAGTATATGAATATTCAAACAAAATCATTAGAAAGTTTTAATTGTTTGAGAAATAATACAAAGCTATTTTAAGAAAAAAGTGAAATATTTCTAAATAAAAAAGATGTTAATGTTTTTTGTTTGTTTATTTGCTAATAGGAAAAAAACGGTATCGAAGCAGACCGGCGATAACATCGTTACAGAAAGTTGTGAGAGCAGACAGATATACGGTACAGAAAATATTGTGGTTGTATTACATTCGGAATAGTATGTACAATAGAGAAAATAGGCTGAAAAAACTAGAAAATATAGGAGTCAGGACGACGGATGAACAGGCGGATTTCTGGTAATGAGTCATGAAAACGGTTGAAATACAAATTGTAGGATAAACGGTAGGTCTTTCAAACATTGAAAAGATGCGAACACATGAATAAATCTATCGGATAAAAGTCTAGCGTGTTTACAAGTTTTGCGCAAACGAGAATTCTCGAGGCATGAACTATGGATTGCCTCAAAATTCGAGTACATAGTCCACGGCTCAGTAAGAGATACACTATCGGGAAAAGAGGAGAACTTTGACACAAATTTTAACCAATAAGACATAACTCAATCGGTGAGAGTGCGCTTTTTGCCGGTCAGTGAATCAAACAAATGAGAATTCATATGTAAACAACAATAAATCCGACGTCAATAAAATGTGTATGAGTTACAGAGTTTGGGTTGTTGTGCATTAGTAAAATTAAAAAAATAGCGAGGCTAATCAGATAAGAAACGGGCAAAGAAAGCTCGGCGACGAAGAGTTATAGACATCACTCCACAATCCGAAAAAAAGTTGAGAGACGGTTCGTAAAGAAGAAGCAATCAAGCGGTACTGTGTGGTAACCATTTGACCAAAACCGAGACGAGTGGTTAATATACACATAAAATATCGGAACGATTTTATAAATGAATTAAGGTTAGTATCATAAAACAGTGAGAAAAAGGAGAAATTTATCGTTTAGTGTTAATTAAAAGCGTCGAAAGAAGTCGTCAAACTAAAGAAGTCAAATGTGAAGGATACAGAGTGTCGGAGATAGAGTCGAACCGTGAGGGATACTCCTCCATTCAAGGAAAAATTCAGCAGATTGTAAAGAACCTAATGAAATAAAAGCTGTGCGATGTCGTAGCCAGCTACGAATCGAAAGCCAAAGATGAAGATTGATATGATATCGCCCCAGTTTGACCAGTCAAGCATCATGCCCCATCCTATCAAAGATTGAGACAAAATCAAAGAAAAGAATTAGTGCTGAGCGACCAGAGGACAAAGAGAATCGCACCTGTTCGAAAAGCGGAAGAATTAGAATTTGAAGACGAACTCCTCGTTGAAAATCGAATTGTACATCGGGGATCAAATTCTGCTACCTCACATTTCTTTTTTTGCCGTCCCGCTATCATAGAGCATAAGCGAAAGAACGAGAAATAATATGTACGAACGAAAAAGAAGAAGAACTGTCGAGAAAGAGTGTGTGCGTGTGTATATAAGAGAGTGTGAGTGTATCAAGGGGGAAACACCGTACTCCATACTCCACTACTCCGCGGAGTGAACTTCCACTCCGGAGTGACGGAGTGACAGCTGCTATAACTCTTTCCTCTCGCATTTGTTGATCAACTGTCGTTTCGAGAATAGTATGCAGAGCACTAATGAATGCTAACAATCCAAGTTCTTGAAAGAAGCGATAATAACAGCAGTTCCCAGTGTCCCCACAATTCCTATAATCCCCAATGTTCCCATAGTTCCTTTAATGCGCGTAGTTTCTAATGCAACGGGGAAACAGCGGACTCCAGTTCCTTAGAGTCACATGAAGTCAAGTGTAGTCATCTCAAGAGGAAAACAGCAGACTCCATCAGTCTCTAGTCTTATGAAACCTGTTGAAGTTGTATGGGATCCACTGGAGTCTACTGGAGGCTTTCGAAGACCTAATACTTCTGCTGCTTAAACCCATTTATTTCCCAGAAATGGAATGTTAGATCTGCCTTCTTGTGAAAAATCTTTCAACAACAGAACATTACAGCTCAGCCCTTTTTAGATTTGTTTTCAAGCCAACGATTTAATTTGTTGTTAATTTGTTGGCCAACGATTTAAATCCAGTTTCATAAACTCCAGAACGATATTCCTGCAGTAAGCTGTGCTTAAAGACAGTAATGTGCCCCTTGTATTTGTCAATTACAATGAAAGTAAACAATAAGGATTGAAGACACTATACTAAGAAGTCAAGCTGTGTGTTTATTCGATGGTCAGATACAACGGATAGATGTAGATATATGTGATAGTTGTCCAGTGCAGACGTAGACAAAGGCAGAGACGAGACGGAAAACGAGAATATAAATACAAAACAGAGAACAGATTCGATGTTTGTTTGGATCTCGATCTAGCACATAACAAAATAAGCGCCATTGTCACGCTACAGCTTCTGTCGGAATTTCTATGAATGATATGTCTGGCATTGTTGTGATTTATTAGTCATATAGACAGGTTTATTATGAAAATAAACTCTTGAATGTTTAAACAATCATTGAACTTCAGAAACTTTCAGGCCATCACCCGGAAATCGCCGTCGCCGCGGATTCTTATATGTTAAAGTGTAAACGTGCATAATTGAGGGTGAGGAAGTGAGGATGTGGGTGGAGCACTTCTTCATCCGCCTCACTCTCTCTTCTCCACCCTCACCCTCACTCGCCGCGAGTTCATATATGTTAAAGTGGTAAAGTGTTAACACTTTAACATATAAAATTCCGCAGCGACGGCGATTTCCGGATGTTATGACTTTTAATAAATCTCTTCGAAATCTTTGAAAAGTGAATTGTCTTTATAATGACTATTTAAAGAAGAGATGTTAGGCGATACATTTCTATGTTTTTCTTAAAGATCATTTTGTTTTTGACAAAAATCAACTCTTTCAAAGGAAATGTGTTGTTAAATCGTTGAAATAAATATAATTTAGAAATCTGAACACTTTCTCTTTGTATTTATTAATAAATTGATTGTCTTTGAAAAAACAAATTCGTTCCCCAGTAATTCTTCATTTGACAAAATTCAGTTCGATCTTTTAATTTATTTTTCATCAAAACATAAACAAACAAATAAGTGTCAATATTCATATCTTAAACAATTTTATTACTACAATACCA